AAATGCACTCACTTGTGATGTTCCATAGTAAAAGGAAATATGTGTTTTGACGCTTCTCGATTTTTAATGGTTACGTGACTAAGAACATTCGGTACGGCAAAGTATAAAATTCAATAATTTCTACAAACTTCCAAATGTAAAATAATAAATTTATAGTAGGAGAAATAGAAATTTGTTTTGGAAGTTCTATCATAAAAACATAAAGATGAGTTCCAACCAAAAAAGAACACATTGCAGAAGATGGAAAAACTTCACAACAATGTTTCTTAACAGTTTATCTAAACATTGATTTTACGAAGTAAACATTTTGTGTGAATAAGGAATAAATAAAATTCATCTGTCTGTTGTTAACTTTAACTAAAACCAACCTTCTATACTTTTTACATTAAGTTGAAGATATATATATATATATATATATATATATATATATATATATACTTTACTATGTGTGGTGTGTTAGCGAATTTCGAGTCCCACGTGCGCGATCGTGAATGCTCACCTCTGAGGAGTCCCATACTAAGATTAAATAGCCGTACAATGCTTCCAGGTTTTCAATGGTACTCTAACTTAGACTGACTCATGAACTGAACTGTTAAAATCTCCTAAGTTAATTTAAGGAGATTTGAATTGAGATGACATTTCGTGCACTTTTATTATGTTAATTAATTTAATATGAATAACGTACCTTGTCTTTCGGTGTATTTTCAGTTGCATCCTTTAATTGATTTTGCTTTCAAGTAACAGTTGTTTAATTTAATGCTTTTCAGTAATAAATTCATGCTGAATTCAATAACTTTACAAGTGAACCAACTTAAATGTAAATTAATCCTCTTGTGGTCTTTCTCAAATACATTTTCTTCTCACAAGTTTTTGAATTATTAACACTAAAGTATTGTGGTCTCTTAGTCATTTTATCTATTTAGTTTCCATATATCTAACTTCGTATTAGAAAAATCTTTAAATCATTCATAATTTGTAACTTACAGTACTCAATCTCATTACATAACAGTAATCTATATCTTTGTATTCATTTTTCATTTATTATTATGTCTGGTTATCTTTAAAACAATGAAACAGTAACAATCATGTAAAATAACACATAATAAATGAATCAATCACGCAAAACATTATTTCTCACGAACTTGCTTCTGTCTACCTATGCAATAATTATACATTTATTATTATTTTTAAGATTGGTTCATTTATATAAAAATGAAATGGGGGGAAGGGGGTAATAGATTCATATAAAATATAGTATCTAGTATATGAAATAACGTAGAATAATGCTATTATATAACAGTATTATTTCGATAGATACTTAGTTACTGTGACGTAATATGAGTCAAAGTGTTTCTTTTTCTCACAAAAAAAAGGTTTTTATGTAGCTTTTTTTCCCTATAGATTATCGTTTGGAATGTTTAATAACTCTCACGTATTACAATGAAATGAATATTTGAATAATTAAGATATATGCATAATATACTTCATGATGATTTTTACACTGTTGCAAAAGATTTTAAACCACATAGATACTGTTTAGACTCTCGTAGACTCATTTAGAAGATATATATAGTAAACTGAACTACATAGACTTATCTTGAGCTGCTCTTTCAATGACCTAGGTAAATGTTTCACCATATTCAACTTTTCAGAATACTACAAATAATAATGAATGATTCAATGTTCTAAAATTGGGTTCAACTTCAGGGTTAGTATTCAGAGTTAATATTGTGGCCAAGAATTAGAATTTATAGTTTTGAACTAAGGGTTAGGATTAAGATGTAGAACTTAGGGTTATAGTTATGAATATGGTAGTGATTTAGGTCCCGTCTGAAAGTTAGTGCAAGGGTCTGACAGTCTATTTTACCGTTAGTTTAGATGCACCTCAATCCCAAATCTTTAACCTTAAAATTAAGAATCTAATAATAGTTAAGTTATTAAAACTAAACATCCACGGTACATAGACAACATTCTGGTTATGTGTATGAGTCGTTACTGTAAAGCTATGTACATTTTCATCATTGGCTCACCTTTATAGTTAAGCATAATTAACATGCATGGTTGGTAATACATTATCAACCGTTGAATCATATAATGCGTTTACATCGTACTTCATCATTCAAAACTACTTGGTTTACGGAAGGTAACTATGATACAAGATGGTAACAAACCAGTGACCATATCTGAAACATCAAAGAATAACAGTTTTAATAGCAAAGAAAGAACATTGTAACACTGAAAAAGAGCCCAGTTCAATTCAGTTAACAAACATTTCTCTTCGCATATATCATTAACTGAAACATTCTTTTAGAGATCATCTGATTTATCAACAATCAATCTTTTACCATTGCACTTTCTTGTTGATTTAAAGCACTTACATGAGATGATTTTGTTCGGGGAATACGCTGAAAAAATGAGGAGACTGTTGAACGCTTAAAGCAATAATCTTAGCATGTTTGAAACGAGTTTTTCTGAATAAATTATGCGATGTGCAGTCTCAGGGCTGGTCTTTATTAGCATATAAACTAAGGATGTTAAGTGAAGTAGTTAAGAGTATCATTCCCTCATTAGACAGGGTGAGTTAGTGTATCACGAGATCTCGGCACAAATTTAGATAACCTGGTTGACTTTTGCCAAATCTCATCACCTGTGGTATAAGCTAGCTATCTGTCTACGAACTGAAGGGCGGGTATACTCTACAGAAGTTCCCTCCATCTCACTCCATTAGGTAGGTTAGTATTATTCAATTATAGGTTTCTTCAAAGCATTGATCGTTTGTTTTGGAACAATCTAGATGCAATTCTGAATTTAAATGCAAAGTATCGCTATATGTTTAACCACAGACTATCTCAAAGTACGGCAATAGTTGATGTAGGAATTAGTAAGACTTGGATTGACATGGTTCCTAATCGTTCGCAGTGGCACAAACACATTCACTCCTTCTTCACTCATAAGTTTTAATTTCCTGAGTTCCTGATAGATTTTTTAATGTTTCAATAATTTATCTTTTCTTTGTTATTACCATTTAACCTGTTCCTACCTCTACTGTTCAAAGATTTCTCCTGACAATCTTATCTCATTGTACTAATAGTGCATGATAGCTTGAGCCTGCATACTGATATTTTAGGTTTTACATTGTGTCCAACTCAATGAATAACTAACTGATTCATAACAATATTTCAGCCTCATTTGTTAATATGTTCAGTGAATATGATCACGAAGAACTAGTTAGTTTGATCTTTGAAAAGAAAATTTTCTTGTCTGAATTGTTTTTATTTTATAATTTCTATTCAATAATCCTTTCATAAAAGATTATTAAAAGAAACATACTGAGATTAGTAACAAAAAATATTAAAAGTGAATAAATTACATCTTCCATTAGGAAAAAACTATCGGTGTATACAGTGAATTCTTTAAATAGACAGTAAATGGTATATACAAATCAAATATCCATAGCCTTAAAAAAACTTTAAAACAGTAGATATAAATATAGCATAATTCATAAGAGAAAGCTACATGATATAAAGTGATTTTAACTCTTTTAAATCAATCGGTTCATGATCTCGACCAAAAACCTAACAATCTCCACAAGCCCTAAACTAATAATTAAGTCTTAATTTGTTTGACCAATAACATTCAAAAAATACAGTATTATCAAATGATCTTTAATGTCATTGATAAAATATTCAAAAAATGGATAGTTCCATTGTTTCCTAATATGGTCGATATTATTAATTCAGTCAACAAGGTTATGGTTCATAAAATATGGTCACTTTCATAAATAACCATTAATCACTCTTATACATAAGATATAACAAATAAAAAGATTTTAATAATCTAACCAATTTTATAGAATTCAGTTCAGAATGTTTATTATTATCTAGATGGTAGTTTCGTCAAGTTTTCAAAAGTTTTTTCCTTTTTTTTTGGTTTTATTATTATTTTAAAAAAGCCCATCATTTCTGCATACTTAATCAATGAATATGCAATGAAGTGAATTAACCTTTATAATAACACGTTTATCTACGCATGAAAACACTTGTCGTTCATAAATGCATTATAGCATAAATGAAATTAGATTGTAAATTGAATGTTCATATTATTCAAACAAAATATTGAAAGAGAAATAACAACAACAACAACAACAACAACAAAAATGAAGTCCTATATTTTTTTGCTCACATTTATCCCCATATAATTATGTCATTAAAATGAGGAGAACGAAACTTTCAAAATATTCCATTGTGAAATGTGTCGTTCTATTTTTTTTTTTTTTTTGAAGAATCAAATGTAATAGTTATCAAAGATGTCAATATTGTAGTAAAAGTTGAAATGAAATATGTACATCAGAGAAATAGGCGCTAATATAGTTTAATTTTATTTGACATAGAATAATGATATGTATTTTGTTTTTTTTCTTAGATATCTGATCTAATCACAGAAGGTTATATCTTTCGTAAATCAATAGTGAAGACTATCAATTTCAAGTCAACTTGTATCTAAGGAAATTTAGAATTCTAGTTAATTTATACATTCATATACATGTAAAACAATATATTTTATTGTTTTTCAACCTTATTAGTATTATACGAGACAATGCAGTGAAGTTAAATCAAATTGAATATAAGATAGGTATCATCTATGATAATGGATGATGGTTGGTTTTAATATTACGAAATGCCTAGAGTTGAAACAATGAACCATCACATTCAAACATAATGACTAAAAAGGTAACAAGCACTCCAAGTGACATTATAGTATTTTTGTCCTATCCTTAAGCGAGCTGTGATCGCTCATTGCTGAAGAGTTATAAATAAAAACTAAATATATGTACAATGTTTCCTTTTTTGATAGTTTAAGAGTTTGATTCAGTTACTGATCCAAATTATAAACTAATTAATCTATATAAACCTCCTTCATTGTGGACTATTCTTGTGGAAATGAGTTTTCCTCATCGCACATTCAAGTGTTTCCTTTTTAATTTTTCATTGATTATCTAGGTCCAGCAAAAATTATCCACTCTCCACTTGATACAAAGGCAATAGCCGGAGAATCAGTCCTATTTTTCTGTCAAGCTGAAGGTAATCCTCTTCCTAGAGTTGTCTTCCGATGGAATGATAATGAAATCACTCAAAATCGACCAGGTTTACAATTTAAAGAATTATCCGCAGATAGTGTTGCCCTACGTGCTAAATTAGAACCAAATCACAACGGTGATACTGTCACGTGTTTTGCACAAAATCATGTTGGATCCGACTCAGCTACGGCACAAATTTCCGTATACAATGCTAATGAAAGTGAGTTGTACAACCTTTTCTCCTTCTCTTAACCGTTTTATAAAGGCTACATTTTATTACATATAGTTTTTATGGTCAGTAATGAAGTTAGTTTCTATTGCGTTTACAGTTCAAGGCATAGGGATCACTTACATGTCATTATTACATCTTTACATCAGTGTATTGTTCTTACATCGTTATGTACAGTATTATGTCATAATAAGTGCATGAGTTATCTTAACTACTTGCTTACAACTATTGTCCATCTTGGGGCATAGGCTGCCACACAGAAATGTTTGAGTTATTTGGCTGTAGATATTTAGAACTGGAGTTTATTCATAATCTGCTGATATATGCGCATTCTGATCAAAACTTAGTCGTAAACATCAGCAATCAACTCAAACTCATATAAAAATAGCATTTGTCGAACCAGATAGCGATTACCTGAACTCATTAGCTCAGTAGACAGTACATTGGGTAAATGAATTTAAACGTGTTGATTTTGGTTTGCGACATGAACATCAACACTCGAACTCAGAATTATCTGGCTAATTAGTCTCGAATGGTAAAAAACTAGCCTCCTGATTTACAGGGCTAACTAAAACTTATTTATTCTCAATAGGGGAAATATTTTTATAGTAGCTATTCAAATATAAAAAATCCTTTTACAGATTGTAAATCCGGAAATTCGATGATCTCTTTATTGTTAGCATATTAAGCCCATTTCCGAATATGCTTTTAAATGTCCGAGATCGGAGTTCAGTACAAAGGAGCAGTTAAGTTTTATGACAACTAGATCATCATGCACGTTGTCCATGTCTATGGGCTCTCAATGATTTCAGCTTTGAAAAGTTAATAACCAGCATGATTAACTCCATGATAAAAAATTCTCTTATGTTGCTTCTAGTCAAACAAACAGATTTGTCGAGGCTCTCCTCTACAGCTTTGCATTTAAAAGACTAATTGCGTCACTGATTAAAGCTCCACTTCATATATACTGTACTAGACAAATGTTCCGAGTGTTATCCTCAAACCCAGTTAAGTCAGTGTTTATTTCTATTGGTGCTATGCTTGAAGAGACTACGAGTTCACCCAATCTGAGAACGAAACGAAGACTCTGTGATCCGATGATAGATAAGCTAGCGATTCCGACACTTCCGAGCTCCGCTAACTAGAGAGACAAGTCCAAGTTCGGAAAAGGGAAATATATTCCTCAAGCAGTCAGAAGCACGAACAACAACAACATACACAACGCAGGCGTATATATGCAGAATAAAAATATCCTTGGAAAGCGTTACAAAATAACATACTAAAAGATACAACGAACCAATAGCGTTTAAGATCCTCCTAAGTGCGAAATACAACATGAAGGTAAAAATGAGCGCTTTTGGCGCGAAAACAAAAAATTCAATTTTTTAAAATAGAATTTACCATGTGAGTTTTGAGAATATAACATCCCCAACAATTGGCTTTGATTGACATATTCAGTATGCAATCTGAAATTAGCTTATATATATCTAACGAACTAAAGAACCAAGTCACAGTTTGATAGAATTGTACAAATTAACCGATAAAACAGGTAATTCAAAGAAATATTTCTCTACTCTATTCAAAATGTTGATCATCCTTCTGGGATTTCTAATAAAATATTTACGAATACAATCCCTTTTTTCTCCAAAAAATCAAAGCTGTATTTGTTTACAGCAAAGTAAACAATAATTGATACTCGAGCCAAAATTGGATGCAATTGTGATAATAATAATAATAATACCGTAAAAGGAAACTGTACTACTGCAGAAAGCCCTTATTAATATTCAGTAATGATTAACTATTCATCTAAAATAATGGATAACATTAAATAATTCATGGAATTTTATTCATATAAATCTATTATAATAAATGAATTATAGATGTGTGTATAAGTTTAAAACTAAGGGTACATAAAGAATGGAAATAAACATTTTAAACGTTCTTATTTATTCATTATATATTCTGTTTAAGATGGATATTCGACCAAGGAAGAAGGAAATATAGTTATAACAGAAGAGTAAAACACAGTATACGTGTTTAATGTCGTCAGTATAATTAAACTAATATGAGTTTTAAGTTACAATTTATTTGATATTCCACTAATCATAATAATAATAGTAATAGTGGAAAGAATATATGATAACTAAAATGAAGAACATATTGCGCAGTGTGAAAATTTGAAAAGTTACCGGACATCATATTGTCGTGATGAATTTCTCTATTGGTAAACTTTAACAACAGCTCACCATGCATCAAAACATAACAAATTGTTGAATTCTTTTATTCGATCCCCACATGATATGATCCCTCTATATCAACATGGGGATCTGGGGAGATTGTAGTATTCTTAACAGATGAATTCACAAATCGATCTATGTTTCAAGATGAATTTCCATGTCGGATGTGAGACACTGAAGACCTCGGAAGATGGTCGCACAATGCCGTGGATTGATTAAAGTTAAACATTAACACCGTCAGATGCTGGCTCAGTTGTCTAAAGATTGAGAATTCGTGTGAGATCAAAGGTCCTGGGTTTGAGTCCTGAGTACGGGTGTTTGTGGATATGCACCGGTGAGAATTCCCGTACTAAGACGAAACGACCCTCCAGTTCTTCCAGCGTTTCAATTGTGGTCTAGCTAAGATCGACTGATAGATTCAATTATTGAAATAAATAACCGTTTAAAACTTTATTTCTGTTAATCAAATGTATTTATCAACCCATTTACACACATGATAATCTTCAAGATTTTAATTAATATTCTCATAATCATTTTGTGAATTTGTCAGATTTGGCTAGAAAAAGACAATAAAAAAGCATTTTTCTAATTTCCTTAAAAAAATATCAGACTTTAACAAACTAAATAGTAAGCGAATAATATCTCGAAATTACTTTTTACCTAATCCGTAAAACAAAACATAGTTTCTAAGATAAAATTTCACCAAAAAAATGCATCATAATATTCTAATTCATTTTTGTAATGCTTGTTTGAATCTTGGTATTGATGTTTAGGACTGCAACTGATCAGTCTCTTGTTGGCATTTGTACATCCTGTACGGATTGCCATGATATTGCCTTAAGTAATGAGCTGTGTAATCAAGGATGTATAGTGGCAAGAAGTGGAATCCACAGCTCATGTTTTGTCCTATTTGAGACTCGTCAGCTAAATGTAACTGCATCTCAGAGTTGATGCGGATAACGTGGTGGATTTCGAAGCAAATGGTACTGGGTTTAAGTCTTTGAAAGAATATCAACTCTGAGACGAAAGGAGCCTTCTGGATTCCGCCACTAGCCACAATCAATCTTTTGCTTATAGTGTTTGATTCTTAATACTAGTGAAAACCAATTTATTTCTCCTGTTTTAAATATAAGAAGTGAAGTAGAATTTTTTACTTTTTTAGGTGACATAAGTCACAGAATGACTTTAGTTATGATATTGTGAAACATATAATATCCTCAGGACCGTAACTGTGGTCGGTGTCTCAAATATATCATCTATAAAATTAAATCAATCCACACAAAACCCTATTAAATAATTTTGTTTTTTAATGAGAGTTTTATCTAGTTTATTTGATTATACCGCAAAATTTCAATTATATGTTCGGTTTCATAACATATTGAGTAGTTTAACCAGGGACACGGTCACTGAATTAGTTGATGAGGGGTTTTCTTCAAAAAGATAATTTATGTTAAAAAAGTTAACATGTTGCATTGGCAAGTATTTCTAGTTTATGTTAAATGAATATAATGACTTTGATTCATAAAATTAAATATATAGTAATGTAGTGAAAATAAAAAGCAATGCAGCGTGCCGTAAACAGTGATTTTGAGCATCTAACAAGTAACCAATTATTATTGAGGTATATAATATGGACACACATTTTGGAATTTATTTACATAAAAAAATTGGATATTACAATGTAAGAAAACATAACATGTTGTTGAATTCTTTAATTCGATTTCCGCATGACAATCCCTCTATATCAGTAAGGAGATCTGTGGAGATTGTAGTAGTTTTAACAGATGAATTTACGATTAATCCAGATCAATTCCTGGAGTTCTAATGAGAAGCCGTGACCAGTGGAGTCTTATCCGTGTCGAGTGTGAGATAGTTACCCACCGAAGACAATGGAAGATGGTCGCTCAATACCGAGGATTGGTCGAAGTTAGATTAGATCGTCATCAGTTGACTACATGATTATGATATGAGTTATATGTGTTTTAATAAAGGTCTTGATGTATTAAAATCGTAATAATAATACGATTTGATTATTTGTAAATATCTAGTTTGTTTCAAAATGTTCACCGAGTTTCTGAGTTTTTTCAATCTTATGAAAGTCATTTCTGAAAAAATAGATACACTTCAACGACAATTATCATAAAGGTAAGAACGTTAAATGAACACATCGAATAAAGTAGTCAGAAACTAGTTCAACGAAGAGAAAAGTCAAACAAAGGAAAACATGACATTTCCCTGAATAATCAATATTTTGAGATTAGATTTTAATTACACTTTTATTACTAAGATTTTCCAGTGGGATCATAATTTATGGACATTTATGTCGCTAAAGTGACCTTGAGAGTGTCCACATGATAACTGAGACCAAATGAGGGTTATAAATTAGTGTGAGGAATTCAAATTATTATTTACAGTTGATGGTTAATGTAAGGATTTAGATTTAGTGTTTTCATCACGAACTGACATCAACTACAATGCCAAGACTCTATTTAGCCAAATGGATGAGTGAGTTTCGAGCCAAAAGCTGATACCTTTTATCTTATACCTGATTGGTTCGTTCATAAATTATAGTCTTGCCGAATTTTAAATGCCCATTGTTAACATTTAACTTAATTATGTTCCCATTAAAAATAATTTATAGTTCATTTTAAAAGCACTTTATACTAATAAGAGTATAAAATGTTTCTCATAACTACTAGCTTTCTTACTGACTTTACTATTTATTTTTTGCATTTATGAAACCTTAATTATGTT